ACACACTTAATGTAAGTCCAAACTTTTGTAAAATTCAATTAGGTAAATAATTATAATGATAAGATACGTTAATAATTTTAATAATTTTATATAAAAACTCCCTTCCTTTTCTTTTTTAAAACATGGATCATCTAATTTCCTATTCTTCTTTTGAACATGAAACCTTTCTCTGTCATAATATAACTTGAATTTCATTCTATACATAACTCTGTGTGTCGGTTTGTCGGTATGTATGTATGTATGTATGTATGTGTTGTCCGTCCGCAAAATGCTTCACGGGTTCGAGTTCGCTGGAGGCGAAAACGACCGCTAGGCAAACAGGCAAATCGGTGCGGAAGTATCAATCCAATGTTTTGATCGTGATATCGGCCTCCGCTATATAAGACAACCATTCGGTACACTCCGAGCCATTGCACGAGCTGCTGGCGTGGCAGCTGGACGTGTGCTCGTGCGGGGGCAGGGTGGGGTGGGGCCGAGAGGGGGGGGCACTGGGCGCCCCCCCCCTCTGCTTCCTTCCCCTGCACGTGCTCAGCCCGACCTGAGCATGTGCAAGTGAAGGAAGCAGAGGGGAGGGGGTACGGTGTGGGGCCCTTCCTCTACTTTCTAGGGGGGGGGTAGGTGCCGTTGGATGATAATAGCAGGAGAGTAGGATACAACCGCTAAAAAAACTCTGAGCTAATTCATAATAGAGTAGCAAACTAATTAAGATGTTGTTTTGACTTGATAATCCCCACCCTATCTAAGACAGTTATTTCGTACATTCCGGGCCATCGCACAAGCTGCTCGCGTGGCAGCTGGATGTGGGCTCGCCCGTGGGTTGATCCATCTATTACGATTCGACCATAACGCATTATGAGCAGCTAAGTGGATGAAAAAATTTTGTTGCCATCATGAGTGCGCCCACCAATTCTAAAGAGGAAGGAGGGAGCCGGCGTAGCCGGCGATCCGACCTGGTTCATTCATAAAATAACATGATATACACTGGTGATAAACAAATATAATCTAGTTTACGGTCTTGCAAAGTCATCAATTGTCGTGTATTATCATCATAATAATTATTACCATATAAACTCATTGTTCCTTCTTTCCCTTACTGACGAGCACAGAAGAAGGATATACAACTCGTTTGGTTTCCGTCTAAGGGCACGTGCGAAACGGAAACCAAACTATCTCCTTATGTTGACCCCGTGTAATAATGATTAATAACCAAGCTTATAGTTAACCAAATGTTTTATAGAATAAATCTAAATGCTACCATAACTTACTGTAATATATTAGACAGGGGAGTGAGTCAGTGAAAAGTGTGCTTTCAGCATGCGCACCGCACCTGTCACGATCTTTTGCCCGCTTCGCGTCTCACGTTTATATTTCTATCATCCTTAGCGTCGAAGTAATTTCGATCCTTCTTCTGATTCTGATCTCTGTCCTTATCTCGACGGTCCCTAAAAATATGAATTTGAGAGCTGGGAGCAATATCTCCACTATAGGTTAATAGCGTCTTGTCCTTGCTCTCTTTTGGGCATATCAGCTGTTATCGGTAGATGTCTGGATGATATTTCTTCGCTCCTTTCTGACATTTTCTGGCTTTTCTTCTTTTTATGGTCAGCACGAAGGTATGACAGCACCTAAAAAATACACAAGATCGTTCGTTTTTTTTTCTGAGAACCAATACTCGATGAGAATGAGACCGTAAGATATTCTCGAAGAAATGCGCTCAATTATCGTAAGTCTAGTTGCGTCTTCATCGTGAAGTTATCAAAAAGGAGGAAAAGGCTAACAGGTAACAGAGTGATACCTGTGTCAGCTTGGAAATCAACATGTTATTCGCGTTGATATTTGCATTTGACTCTGCCTTCGGACAATCGTGCACAGATCTGAATCATACAAAAAAGTAACCTGAATTTTCATGGTGAGACTGTTTGTGCTCTGCGAATGAAGAGAATTCGCAGTTCGAGAGAATCGCTAATTTAGGAGGAGTATGCGCCAGAGGTGGAGGCTGTGTAGTGGCAAGTGACGAGCTTACCACGCGCGCGATTCGGGGGTCAAATCTCGGATCGGTTCGCCGGGACCAGCCAAGCCTTTTAATGGGGGCGGTCAACTGAAATCGTATTCAGCTGGGACACTAAAAACACAGACTTGTACATCATCTGGCCCAGCGCGTCCTTTTATAGCGACTTCACATTTAATAAGCCACTGGTGTTCTGAATGGAAGTAATAAAAACGTGCCGCCTCTCACAAAGCGACTGATCAGCGGCAAAGATTTTTTTCTTTCATTATCCTTTATGCGGTGAAGTAAGTTTAAGGATCGATAGGAGAGTTCACGATTCCAGAGAATACGCAAAGAAGGTGGGATTGGGGGGATGGGGTGGGAAGAATGAACGAATCGGGAAAATGAATTCGTTAGTCGACGGAATCAATCGAGTCCTGTTCCTTTGTCGCGCACTATAGCGATTCGTGGACCCCCCCCCCTTGATCGCGCATCCCACATTTACAAAAAGTGAGCACTGCCTAGGAATTCCGTAGTAGTAGCTGATATTATGATCGTTACCTAAGTAAAGTGGTAGGAATATCAGCTTCCTCATCTTCCATGTCTACCACATATGCCATACGTCCTTTTCCGAATAGCTCATTCCGTACTGGTAACTCATTCTTGAACAGAATACGATGTAAGCCACGCACCATCTTATT